GGACCTAACAAGACGAACCTAAAGGGGAAGCCTATCACGAAACACCTTGCCTTAAGCTGAGGAGGTTAGGAAGTGGATGTGAGTCGAATTTGCGAAGCAACCAGTGCCGCCTCATCGCTTGCCCTTATCAATCAAGACCAGAAGTGAGGTAAATTCACTTCAACAGAATCACTAAACCCCATAGATTGCGAAGTTTCGACAAAATGTCAAGCCACTCAACAGATACGATTGACGCGACTTTTCCGCTATTGTCTTTTCCACATACATTAATAAGTAATGGAGGAAATTCCTCTGTGATTCAACAGAATGCCCTCAATGTGACTACATCATTATCCAGTCTGCTGGAACGAAAAAAATTAAACAGCCGCCGTGAATAGGTCGAGTTTCTCCTACTTATGCAGTAGGAGGAAAGTCCAGTTTATGAAAATACCACATCTACTCATCTATTTTTGCGGATTTTTTGCCATTTATGTTGATTTCCCAATCGGATGCTTAACTTAATCATCAATCACTCCATTTATTGCAAATGGACGTCAAGCACTGACGCAAGAATAGTTGATCATGCAAATTAGGTATTTCTGCTGAGCCTGCATTTCCACCTATTCAGAGTACCAATATGTGAAATTGTTTTACTACTAATACATTCATCCTTATTAGACAAGAATCCTTGAATAACCAGTCTTGAAGTAAAAAATCACTCAAATGATGGCTCTCCATGGCGAATGAAAGTGAAAAGGTATAACAGAATACCAAATATGGCGCTTAAGAAGGCCAAAAAATTCAAATACGCACCCAAGAGGACGGGGATTGGTCTTGTTGATGACGATGCCGGTGATGACCGGAGTAGGAGGGAGAATGGCGAGACCGATGATGGGGACTGCCCTGGGTTTGTGAATGGTACGTCGCGTTTTCTGCCGCCTGCAGACGACGCGCCAACTCCAGATCTGACCGCGATTGAGCTGCCTCTTGCTGTAGGCAATTTTGCAAGCAAACGGGCAAATGAACGAACCTGACTAATGACATACTTTAAGGAGGGGAATTCACTTCACCAAAAGTTACTAATGGGGTAATTTCAAGTAAAACCGAGTAACATTAGAGCACGTTACTTTGCATTGAAGGTCCAAGTAATGAGTGAGTAGGTTCAACAAAACGCAAATGAAGTCGGTTAAAGGAGGATGGGGTAGAAGTAGGCTATACAGTTAAGAAGTGCACATGGTTCAACCTTAACAGTAGAGGTGAAGAAATCCCTAAGGGAAGGAATTGGGAATAAATATCAATGATGTTTTATGACTGTATGCATTACGACAAATTTGACGCTACACTAGCGGTACAAAGCCTAAATAGCGGTCTGCTAACAACTGTACACATCACCAGGAAGCAATCAGGTAATACACAAGGAAATGACATTGGCACATCAAGTCGAAAAAGGGTTGTGGATGAATATACACAATCATAAAAAAGGATAGACGAAAGTGCACTAATTTTGACAGCTGCTTGACTCAGATCCCGTACGATGGATGACAATGGAAAGATAAAGCGTACAGAAAAGACAAGCGTACTGTGTGCAGAAATAAAAGGATTAACTTGATCGGAAGAGCTTACACCACTGCACATTGCATTAAGTGGAGAGTAACCCAAAGGAGATAGGAAGGCATAGAGAAAGCTTTATAAAGAGGCGTTATATTAGACACTACAATGAGCGGTTTAGCTGAAAGACAAATGCATGTACAAAAATAAACAATTTAGGGAGTGCATTCACTTTGAGACATTTCCCAGTTCCGAGCAAACCCTCGCAAATAAATACCTGCGACGCAGTCCTCAACTGGTGTTATTCGGTCGACAAATAAGTTTTCTTTTTAACATAAAGTCAATATATGACCTTTGCCCGCGTTAGACGGGTGAGAGGTACGAGTCGTGCAGTTTTTTTCGGTATGGTAATTAGAAAAGTACTCTTCAAGCAATGCATCTCCGAAATTCCACTAAATAAAACAACTCGCTGGCATTATGGGGAGTAATTGGACGAAAAGTGGAAAGGAGAAACTGTTTGGATAAAACTACCAAGTAACCAAGGGGAAAGTGACCCAGTTATTTCCATTTTAACCATATTTCTGCATTAGTAGTAGGCAAAGAAAGGTAACTACAAATCCAAAGTAGTAAAAAGACTAAGGTAACCGAAATTTGTCACAGAATAGTGATAAAACTACCCAAGGCAGATGCTTTCAAAACAGAGGCTTACCCATGAGGAAGACATGGTTTGACCGTATCCACCGCCATTTTGTCGATGGTGGGAGGGAGAGCACGAGGGAGATTGGGAGGCGGATTCAGAGGCCTGCTTAAGGTAGGCTGCCTCCTCCTCCGCCTGAAGCCGTTTCGCCAGCTCCAGGTCCGCCCGCTCTACCGCTAACTTGTCACTAGAGTTGTGCCAACGCAAGTAAATGGTTCTTAGGACGTAATCACTGGCCACGAAACTATTAATAAGGTAGTTTTACGAATTACTTAAACCACCTCAAATTCAAACATAACGAATACTAAGTACCTTGCATGATGCTTTAACAGTTACCTTTCCCATGACACTCATTTAACTAGTGTTGTATGGCGACTCCTGTACCCAGAATTTGTGCCAAACCAGAGTTGACATGAGTTTACAGCTTTGAATAGAGGTGCTTTCACCTCATCACCATATTTGACTGGTTCAGCAAAGTTTACAAAAACCTCTCAGTCAAACTTTCAGCTTTCAGGTAATTTTGATGGAACAAATACTTGTCTATTTCGAGACGAATCAGTTGATAATTTGCATGGTTGACTCGTTAATGTTTTCCTTGCAGTACCTACTACGTTGTGGTGATCAAAACAAGAAGTTGTCCAAAGGAAAAGGTCAAGAACAGAAGCTATTTCATACTTTGACCCTATACTTAATCCCTCCTTTTGGTTTACTCAAGTACTAAGGGCTTCGCCACTGTACTTCAACCCCGCGCAGTGGTCTCCGAGCACATAGTTGTAACTCTTCAGCCTTACTGTGTGTCGACGAAACCCTTTCCATCCCAATGTTATCAATTTCGTAGACTTAAAAATGGCTCCGAGTACTGCGTAACAACCTACTGGCGCATTGCTAAGCCTTAGAATCATAGCGATGAACACTGGTAATGCGGTAGACATTAAAAGTGACATTTAGCACAATTAACTACGCAAAGCGAC